GATGAGGAAAATTTGGCGATCCAACGTTTGGGCGATTGTGCGTCAAGGGAGTTGATGGGTTTCAATTGGCGCCGGTCGCTAGCGATTGCGGAGATTCGGCGATCCGACGTTTTGGGGGAATAGACCGATCCTGCGCTTCGGTCCGTCGAATCTCGTAAATCTCCGAGTCTCTTCAGTCGTAGAGTGTGAACGCGGCCCAACGCATTCGGAAAGAGAGGAAGAGATGGGTTACGCGACAGTGTGGCTACACTCCAGTTCGCTGCGGACGGTTGGGCGTGTCAGGCAGTATGAGTGTGTCACCCGTCAAAGCCGTTCTCTGCCTTCTTGTTGAAGCGCGCATGCGACAAAAAGTGGTAGAAAACGAGTAATACGAACGATATGATACAGTCATATCATTTGCTCGCTTTAACAACTGGTGGAGAACGGGTTTGGCACCGCGCCAAACTCATCCCGCCTGACACGCCCAACCGTCCGCAACGAACTACACTGTATGTGTGCTCTGCAATACTAGACCGCGTGGAGCGTTACTTCCCAGTCGCCACAGGGAGAGCCTTTGCGGAAGGGTGACATGCGCGGTATTGGCAGCAGGGCCCAACCCACTCAACATGTCTGCACTGCTGCGCGTCGATTCCCTTTCTATCTCTTTTACGTCAATAGCTAAGGAATACTCTGCGTCTCTGCCGCAATATTGCGACTCATAACTGAGAGCGCGTTCAGACTCCGCGATCGCGCCATCCAGTCGAGCGATCGCGACCGGGGGCGCTCCACCGCCAATCGGTGAACCGCTGTTATTCAATCGGGCCGGCTCATGCACTGCTCCGTTTTTCTAATACTTTTCTGTGCACTATGCCATGCGTTTTTTGAAACGTTGTGGAAAGCGTTCTGCTTCTTAAAGTGTTGCGTTTTCCTATATTTCCCTTCCAGTAGTATAAGATTGGATCCTTTGCAGCAGTTCACCTATTGGCAGTGGAGCGCCCCCAGTCGCGATTTAGTCGAGCGATCCGATCGCGAAGTCCGAACGCGCTCTGATGCTCCACGCTGTGACGTCTCTGATCGTCTATGCTCTGCTATGTCTGAGCCTTGTAGGAATCAAAGGACATGGTCCCCCCCCCGTCAACTACGTCAGCGCCGTCTTTTGTTCCCTTAAGACATATGCAATGCTGCTTTCATGAAATGAACAGTGTAGCAACAGGGAGAAGCTCCAGTTTTCATTTGAAAGTACCAAAAGTCTTTATTTTGCTTTTTCTAAATGGAACTTCAGGCTTCACACTGCTGCTAAACATTCAGATCATTAGCCTTGACGTTAGACTACAGAGCGCCTTGTGAGTAATAACTTTTCGTTTTTCATCCTTAATTACGTTGTCTGTCGGGACTGAGTCACTCTTGAGTACGCGTGAGTGATCCGCGCTAAGCTCTCATTGATTGCCCGATTTCAATAATCTTGGGCAATATTGAAGGTTGCTAGCCTGTGTATCTCGATTTTGTTGGTTTTTACTTTTGATTGTTTTTCAATAACTCTCCCGTTTTACTATATTGGATTGTGTGTTTATCATTTTCTTGCAGCAACGCTCTGGCCTTGCATGACTTTTCGCGTTGCTGTGGTATGTAGCTTTTCTAAGTCTTTTTTTATAAGAAATAACCGATTTTCCGGGGTATGAAGCACATCGTCAGCATGGGTGCACAGACGCACGCGACAAAGCTAAAGTGTTTAGACCCAGAAACTGCTTCAGTGATCTTTTTCAAGTACTTCAGTCTTTCTTAGTCGCAGCCATTTTTTTTTTTTTTTCGGTGTAGAACCTTAACAGTGATAAGAACATGGAAAAAATACGCAAGCAGCTAGCCGGAAAGAAATTCGCGACAATTAGCAGAGCTGCGGCTAATACATGATCGCTGTAGACCACAGAAAATAGTTTAGATACAGTCTGTTCGCCGCGGATACTGGGACGTGTCAGGGAGATTGGTGTAGGCTTGTCGTCTGCACATTCTCCAGCAGTTGTTGAGGGCAAGCGACCACAATTGGTGGAAAATGGGCTGGCGGCGCGCCACACCCACCCATCTGGTACGCCCTAGCATAAACCCCACACGCAAGGCTGTAACTAATTGCCTCTTTCTTCGATCCGTTCGGCGATATAGTACGTGGGGCTTCCAATGACGATCTTCAGCGAGAATTATGACATGAAATGAAAGTGCGCGAAGATAAAGATGGGACAACACCGATTCGATTTGCCTCTGCATAAATGGACCAGATATTCGAGTCGGAGGGTATGTGACAAGAGGATCGTAATTCGCCGCGTTCGTTGGTGGGCGTCGCGTGCGACGTTGCGCTCGCAAATAACGATGGTTCCAGGTTGAGGATGGCACAAAAAGCAGATCAGAACCTCAAATGTGTACGATTACGGGGTCTACGTGAATTCCGGTGCTCCAATTGACAGGTTAACACGAGTTAAGAAACTGCCGCGCGCGGCGGAGCGGCAAATTACGATCCTCTTGCCCGTCTCCCATTGTCGGAGGGGGTTATGTTCTGAGATGTGATCATTTCGTCATTAACATGTTAACATGTCTTAACACGTCAGCGACCATTAACATCCAACGATTTATGCTTGCAGCTCCATAGTAGTATAGCCCCAACATCCGTTTACTCCACTTGTGCTACTACCTGACCGCGCTAGTTTTCTTACTTGTGCTCATTTCAGGTATTTGTAAATTGTTATTGCTAACCACTGCAGTCATCATCACGTCTCGGTTAGTGTCCGTTGCTGCGATGTCGACCTCCTCCCTTTCCGAGGGTTATGAAAAAACGCAACGAGGTGGCACGAGAGCATGGGAGGAGACTTTTATGGTAACTGACTTTGTACTGACCGCTCGTTGTAGTTATCAAAGCATTTCTTTCAGAGGATGCACGCTGATTCATTTAAAGAAGTAGAGGGTCGCGGACTGACCACGAAGATAGCCAAAAATCTGCTTAATATGGAACGGAATCGTTATGTGGATGTGCTACCATGTGAGTACCTTCCCTAGACCTGGTACTTACTGAATTTTGTCGAAACATGTGTTGTTAACCTCGCCCTTGCTCCCGCTGGGTTGGCGTTTCCGGAATATTCGCCTACGTTTAACTTTCCAGTTGATCAATGCCGTATTGTACTCGGGTCAAGTACTGACGAGGATGAATCTTACATCAATGCCTCTCCCGTATCGATTAAACAAGCACACAGAAATTATATACTTGCTCAGGTCTGTTTAATCAAAAGCTTTCTATGTTTCCTATTTCTGTTGTCTGTTTTAGGGACCACTTGAAAATACCTGCAATGATTTCTGGCAAATGGTTTGGGAACAGAACGTGCCAGCAGTAATAATGTTAAATAAAGTTATGGAAAGCGGTCGTCATAAGTGAGTAATTACCGTTTCCTTCAAATTTTCTCTTTGTAAAACGTTGGCATTGTTGTGAGTTTCGAGGGTTTCTTTTTTTGTTCCAACGACTTTGTTAGATTTCCTTCTTGCGTCAGCGCTTTGAGCGACCAGGTATGGGATCGATCCACTCTGCTAGTCGCTCAGGACCCTAGAACGCTCAAAGCGTGACGCAAGGTATGATCGCACTCTCTGGTGGAACCCCTCATTGCTTGCTTGACACATTTGCGACCGGGCGCTTTTTCGCATGTCCGCCCCATGGAGCAACGTCGTTTTTTTTTTGATTCTCGGAAGAAAAGGTTCAATGTTAAGAGGCTTCCTTACAAAAACAAAGCTAAGAGGGCTAGAATTTCATGCAGAAGCTAATGGAGCTTCGCTGTTTTCGATTACTAACGTGAAATCTTCAGAAACTATTTCACCAGGTGCACACAGAACGCGGGGGAGGGGGCCAGTCTTAAATGTGACTCTGTTTTCGTTCTGGAACCTTTGAACGAAATACTATCTAATCTCCTTTTGCCCGAGTTGCACTGATACGCTAGCTATTTGTATAGAGTATCAGTTGCACTGATACGCTAGCTATTTGTATATGGAGTATCAACTTTCCGTCTCCGAAAATAACATTTTTACCTCAGAGAGCCACTCCCGCTCTTACCCTCTCAGCTTAACGACTTTTGTGCCATTCTCTTCCAGCACTCTGAATGGGAAGTGCATATGTTTGTCACGAAATTCATTAGAATATTAGAAATACATTAGAAGTTGGTAGCGCTATAACCAGGGCACAATCGGGCTGTGGACATTAGCATCTTTATAGGACCCATTCTCAGACAGAGTATCGGTACGACCCTCAGTACACAATACATCCACAACATGGATGGATGAGCATCTGCGCTCAGCGTTGTGAGATAAATGCCGTCACTGAATCTTACACCAGACAGCCTTCTTTTTCCCCTCGCAGGATTTCTGAAGCAGTCGGGAGGGAATCCCCTGATTTGGCAACGAACCCTCACTAACATTTCGTTGGCTCAAAAAGAAACGAATTGCTATCCTTTCCTTGAAATGTACTAACTGAACAAATTAACGGTGTTTATTTGGGTGCGCTCTTTACTTTCCGACGAAAAATGAACGTGAGGTGGAATTCGATGATTTCTCGGCAGAATTGGCAAGTGAAGAACAGCATCACAATTTTGTCGTACGATGGATTTACTTGAGAAAAAACGACGAAGGAGACGGTTGGTTTATTTCTTTGAACTTAGCTTTTTGCGTCTACTCTCGTTCTCTTTCTGGGGCTCTTCATAGCTTTTAGAGGCCAGTTTTTAGCTCTAAACGTAGCTCCGTTGCGGTGGGTTATTACCGGCAGCTCAGTCTGCTGTGCTGGACTAGGCCACTGCCACCGGTGTCGTCTGCGCTCTGTCAAGTCCGATTTTTGGTTCGCGAAGGACCATCGACGCACTTTCATGTAACCCTCCACGAACTACGCTAGAGTCGCAGTTTGTCGACATAGGATTTAATTTAGTTTATTTTAGCTTCCACGGCGTAAAATTTTACATGTACAATACACCGAGTGGCCAGATTTCGGAGTTCCTGCTTCAACCAAATGCTTCCTTAATATGCTCTCTTTTATAAAAGGTAGTTCAGTATCCTCCTTTCACGTGTAGAAGCACTGTTAATATTTTGCATGCGACAGTTTTCTGCAAATGCTTCAGCACCTGAAAAAGGGTTCCTTTGGAGGCAGAAAGAAATCATCATGCCAAAGTCGTTCAGTTCGTAAATTAGCGCTGTTCTAGGTCAGAATGTGTTGAGTATTTAAAGACGATGATCCGCCGTGCGTCGTGCATTGCTCTGCGGGTATCGGTCGATCAGGAACATTCATCATCGTTGATGGAGTGTTACGGATGGTTGGTTCTCGTTCAAAGTGTATCTTTTATTTATTTTTCTTTTCTTTAGCAGGATTCCCAGAGCAGCATTATATTGAGTCATCAATGTAGAGAGTTCGGCGCGCCATATAAGGGCTTATTATGGGTGTGTGAATCGAATTGCCATCAGGAGAGTCCTTCTCACTTCCTTTTCTTGAGTACTATGTCTTCGTCGTTGTCCATTGACTGCGCGGTAGTATCACATTGAGAACTCGTGCGCCGTTTTCTTTTCAAATCTTCTGTTGCCAATTTCGGCGGATGAGAAAACTCGCTGTTTGCCGTTGGACAGTACCTTCAACTGACCAGAATAGGGGAAAGTACACGGCTGTAGGTCGGGAGAATAAGGCGACTGAACCCAGGTCTCAGTATTGTTTGTGTCAAGCACTGCCCTAATAATACGGTTACTCGGGGCCTGGCACTGTGACGAGCAATGGTGGCCTTCTTGTAGTTGTGTGGTACCATCCATTTGTCGATCTGATTGTCGAGGAACAGGCAGTATACACCGACAGTGTTGTTTTGTTCTCTGTTCAGAACCGCTTGAAAGCTACAGTAAGGAAACTATCGCCGTAATGATTATCCTGCTTGAGCCCACGTAATTCCTGATGACAGAACTCCGGCTCCTTCTCTCTGCATTCATAAAAAACTGACGCTTGTGAGTTTTGGCTCGCAGTTCAGGACCACTCATTCGTGAATGACGCCTCAGGCGATGGAAATCGCTGCTGCAGGATAGAAATGGTACTGCGTTCGTGCTTCTACAAGAAACACACACCTTCTTGACCATGCTCACTTTTTCGGACATAATTCGGGCAACGGTTGCCAAGGATGTCTGTTTCGCGGGAAGCTCGACAATGGTCCTGCCTCTGTGATCACACATCAGCGCCTGACTTCATCCACCTCGCTTTTCCTGTGCAGGATGAACATCATGGGGCCTTCTTCAGCCACAACTTTTTTGCGCTCGTCCTTTTGGACTTCTGAACAGAATCATCCACATTTCATTTGGAGAGCACCATTATATGCAAGTGTAGGTCAGGCCTAGGATAAATTTATGAGGGCTCTTTCCTCTTGTGATGCCGGATTTCATAATCCTCCGCAGATTTTGACCACTCGGGTTTCTTTTCAATTTCTCGAAGATTTCTTCGGTGGTTAGGCAGCCAAATTCGACGGATAGGTAGCTAAAGACACCAGCTTTCGAACGATATAGTAGCCCGCAGCCCTATCCCCTTTGCTTTCCTGCCATTTCTCTATTGGTCTCCACGTTCTTATATGAGATGACCTAATAT